CTGTCGTCGTCGCAGCCCGAGCCGCTCATCTTCTGCATGACGAGCGACTCGCGAAACACGACCTTTGTCATCGAGTGCTGCAAAGAGGATTTTTGCAATCGGGATATGAAACCTCAGCTGCACCCCCGCAAAAAAGGTACAGTCCAACGACCTGGAAGTAGCGAAAATTCTCTGCAGGTGGCTCAGGCTTTTGCTGCACCACTACTTTATAGATATTATACATATATATTTTATCACTTTCTTCTCTTCGTCTTTCACCTCATTTCTCTTTACTACCTGTATTTCTATTACTATGTACATATGTAGCTGTAATAATTCTCTTTCTATGTCTGTTAATTTCTTTTGCTCAGAATAATGCAGGACATTGATTTTCATTGTCCCACGAAACACTGGACAGCCCTTTATTTCCTGTGTTATGGAAGATAGATGGGAATATATTTGTACGGAACTTGGCACGTCTTTTGATGGAAATGAATTTTTTTTACGTTATTATACAATAGCTTTATTTCAGCCTGTTGACTCAGAAATCGACGTGGTTTACAGTTTATTCATTATAGTATTTTAGTCACTTTTTTCTCCATACTTACTGAACTCCTTCCCCTTTCTACTTCCCTCATCTTGTTAGTCTTACATCTCATTGCTTTCATCTTGTATTACGTTACTATGTAATGAGATACGATGGTCGAATTCGTTCTTTAAAATGAGAAATGTTTTTTTATCAATTGATACAGTTTTTCAGGACAATTCTTTTCAATCATTCTCAATACAAAAAACGAACTTGACCATCATACTTCATTAAACAACAACGTATGAAGGAATTCGTTTCTATCAAAAGATGTACCTCCTTGGACCGTGCAAGCTTCTCATAAAAACTTTTATCCAGCTCTCATAACTTAGGAAATAAAGGACTGTCCAGTGTTTTCTGGAACACCTTGAATGCATAGAAACAAGAACGCTGTGTGTATACACTTGTAGACGCTATACATGTATACATAATATGTACTGTCGGAGAGCATCTTCTATTAATTAGAGTAGCAATTAAATTTTCATGCTGTTGACTCCTCCGCGTTTTTCCACCGATGCTTTTCTTTGATAATGATTATTCTATCTTTCCCAACATGATCCGACGCAGTTAGTCCCCACACCGTGAACGCCTCGAACCCCTTTCGAGCCCCCCGAACCCCTTTATAGCTGTACCATATCATAGCTCGCACCTATTCAGTCTATTTCTTTTTCTTTCTGTTCCCCTACTGCTACATTGTTCATATTGTTGTTATACTATAATGTATGTGCAGCAGTAAGAATGATCGTTAACGATGTACTGATGAACATCATCGTATTATTTCATTGTCTCGATATGCCCGGCCTGAAAATGAATGGACCAGTCCTTAAATTTCTCGTCCTTCTTTTTCCCACATTATTATGCATATATTTTTTATATCGATGTATTCGCTGGTCGCACGCACGTATTTCTCTCTCCTTTTTCATTATCTTGTCACTTTTACACAGAACCATGTGAACCTTCAGGTTATAACAATTGTTTAATTAAATCCAGAGATAATAATTGGGCGCTCAATCACCCAGCTCTCATTATAACATCTAGATTTAATTAAAAAGAACGTTGGCACGTTAAGGTACACGTGGTCTTCATTAACTGAATACTCATTCATCTTCTTAATTAATTCAGTACGCGTACAGTGTAACATCATTAAACGTAAATTAAAGTTCGATTAAACGAACAAATCTTTCTTCTATTACGCGTATAAATCACACGATTAAACGATACCGAAGCGGAATGATAAGCTCAGCTATCACCTTATTGGCCGACTCTTTTTCCTGCTCGCTGCATATAAATATGCATTTCGCGGAAATGTCAGGATGTTGCGTATACACATGTATAATACATTCCGTGTGCAACAGACTCCTCGCGTGTGTGGAGATAGCAGTCACGGCACATTTTGTATGCACACGCGTAATACGCTACTCTACTTGCACTCGGGATCCGCGTTTCTTTCATTCTCATTCCGGGTCGCTGTATGCTCTTGTCACGGCTGATAAAGCACGATGCTCACACATACCTACACCTACATACGTGATACTCGATCGGGCCCGTGTCATCTCGTACCTATCTTTCGCGATGCCACGCCGCGAGTTTTTCTACCCAATCTACGCGTTCGCGAGATGCGAACTCCTGTTTCAACGCTCGACGCTTACGTAAGCTAGGTTTATAGTGTCCGTCGGATTTTTCGTTGATACTGTTTAATATATACGGAGTGTAAAGGAATGTTTGTTGTTAGCTGTTACAAGCGTGTTCTACATCTTGGAATGCACAAAAATCTATAAAAAGAAGTTAGTCAAGGCTAAACATATATCTTTACATTTTGTACAAATATTTCTCGAAGAATAGGTGTTCTATAGTAGCTTCAATCCTCTTCGTAAAAATTGCGAGTGAATCGTTTTCTTTTTTTTAAGGGGTTTCTTTTTATCTCTCTTCCTCTGTCTTTGAATCGCATTCATATGTTTCATTGCACCACAATCACTTTAATGTTGTATCAGTTTCTTTCTTTCTTATGATTACATGTACATATAGTTATATTATTCGTGTTAGTTTGTTAAGATAATAATATATTGTCTAGTAGTCTTCTTAATAAAATATGATATGTTTTGTTAAAAATGTAAAACGGTGTGAAAATGTTTGCCACCTATGGAGGTTCTAGTTACTTCGGGGTACTTTCCTTCTGTATTTTTTTGCTTACCCAGCGTTCGAGGGAGACCGGAAATCCTCCCAAGTGAACTTGGAAAGCACCGGTATATAGCATGTTGCCATATCTGTCCTCTCTGCACTCTCTAACAAAAAGTAGGCACGTACTGGTACTGGTAAACAGGTCCTCGCAAAAAGAGGCCGTTCTTTGTAAATATTTTCGTTCAGTTCCTCTTAAAAGGGAAATGTGCACAATTTTTAAAAATCTTTCTTTAAATTTATCATACTTTTGTACATAGAAATCTGGCAAACTATACATATGTCTTAACTCCACCTAAATCTGTTCCTTCTATAATTTTCCATAGTAATCGTTTCAAAGTTCGAAGGGTCGGTGTGAGATCCTATTGTCGTCGAAAATATTTTATATTCATAGACTTAGTTAGAAAATTTATCCATCGCGTTGTTCTTGGGGCAATGATTATCGATCCTTTTTTAGTAGCATCCCCTACGGGGACAAGATCGGAAAATAGTAATAAATCTATGCATTTCTTCAGGCACGAATGTGGCTGGATTTTGACATGTTTTTTATGTTTCAAAGTCAATTTTAATCTATGTATTAATGTAGGATTGAGTTCTTTAGTGATCTTTGGAGATTACAGAAAATCTCTTACTATGTCATTAAGCATGTTAATCGAGCATTGAAAAAATGAGATTTAGATTTATTAGTACTTAGATTTATTACTATTTTCGATTTTTATCCCCATAGGGGGAACTGACACAATTAAAAATTGGTCGAGAATCATTACCCAAAGCTGTACATACATACGTGTTATCGATAATATCAATTACGTACATTTCGTGCCGAGCCATTTCCTGTTTACATATACATACCTACATATGTATTGTTCAAATGTCGTTTAACATCTGTGAACGTGATTAAACCTTCGATGTTGCGTTAACTTGCTCGACGAGTGACAATCGAATAGAATGCTTAATCGCATCGTAATGTCGTTAATTAATTCGCACAGAGATTGCTCTTTTAAAGTTGCAAGAATATCCGTAGTAATTTTTCGTGCGATTCTTACTACGAAATCTTCCACCCACGCTTCGTTTTCTTTTCTTTTTCTATTAATTTAATAATTGTTGTAGCCGCTGTCATGTTACTCCCATTTCTGCACGTCCTTGCAGATTAAATCTTTCTCAGATCGCATCGCTATTGTTAATTGTCTGCTCATAGAAAATCGCGCGGCAACAACGGAGAAAGTTTATTAACTTTGGTACAATGAATATCTTTATTATTTTAGCGGGGACTTGGGGACTTAATTCATACCGACTTGTTTCTAAGCTTATGAAATTTTGTATATATTTGCGTCTTCCTCAGGGATTCAACAACTTTTATAAAAAACTGGATGTAACATTATTTAACACTATCGAACATTTTTTTTTCTTTTTAAGGGATATAGATGAATATTTTCTCTCTGGACGGTATTTCGTTGTGCAAGTTATAAAAATGGTTGAAATGTCAGTATAATTTCTATTATCAAATAAGTAGACTACGAAATTTTGAATACAAAATAATATTAAAAATATGAGCGATTACATAATTTGCAAATTATTTACTTGAAAGTTAAATCCTTGACGGATCGAATTAAATTTCTATTAAAAAATCGAAGAAGTACAGTGAAGGGAAATCCCTGGTACAATAACGTGACCGTAAAAAGCTGAAGATAACGACGTTATAATACGGCCTCTTAAGGACCAAATTGCTGGTAAAAGAGAAATCCGTGAATTATTGCCCGATCTCAGATTATTAATGATTAATTCCCGAAGTTATCTCGGCTACCTGTTATTCTTGCCGCTGTCCCGGTATGCCCTTACGAATTTATAACTTCGTAATAAGAGTAATTTATCACGCGGCCAACAAAGTTGAAGAAAAAGAGAAGTACCCGGCAGAGGGAAAAAAGACAGGAGAGGACTAAAGCACCGAACAGCTGTGGCTCGCGACTGTGATTTATTTACATTATTTACGTGACATTCAGGAAGGGAAAATCTTTAATTATACACAGTTGACATTTTGTGGAAAATTGACAAAAGTAGTCACGTGTTCGAACAACGAGATACCGTCGTCAGCTACGATCATTAAAATTTTTGCTTTCACTTGTTTAGTTACTTTTATTTTAATACACAAAACACAGGTTGTCGAACGTATTTACTTGGATCATTGACCCGTTTGCTCCCCGTTTCGCCTGGAGCCTTACTGTAAATATTCTGGTCCGGAAGTCATGTAAATTGTTCTCAGGTGTTACGATAAGGTACGCTTCTTCCCGGCGCCTGAGTACTCGATCTGGTGCAACACGAATAGCACGCTACGCGGTCCAGACGACGTGGAATACGTGGTCGCCTGCTGCGACCACGCTGACTTCTGCAATCGCGACCTAAGGCCCTATTTATCCCCTCGCAAGTCCAGAGGTGGGGCATACTTTCGACACGCCGATTACCTCGGACGAGGTACAACATCCGTGCACACATTCTGTCTCTTTTCAAGGTCGGTCGGTGTTGAATCAGAAAACCGCAAGGAAGTTTAACCACAACCTTGTTCTGTCTGATTTCGGAAAAAAATCGACAGCACAAAATGAATAATCAAACAAAAACGATATTTTCGAGAACGAATTTTAGGTCCCTTTTTTATGAATGCTATAGTAATTATAAAGATACTTGTTAATGTAATGTGTCAGTAGATCACTCATCCACTTCTCATTTTGTACGAGATTTTCTAAAACGCACGGTAATTTTTATCTGATTTCTATTTTTAATTTCCATTGCTGACTCTGATCGCGATTACTAAAAATTATTAAATTAATTCTTTCAATAACAAAACTGACTCTAGCTGGTTTCCTCAGATATGTAATCCACGCATATAATTCTATTTGTAAAGTTGGAATCTGTAGTCTCCGGTAAAGAGATTTGTAAGATACCTGATTGCAAAATAATCTATAAAATTGTGGAGGCATTGAAATCCGCGGCAGTGGAAGAAAAATGAGTTAACTCCTCTTTTTCAAGTTTGTTTGGAAAGATTGTTAGAGTTAGTTGGTCGGCAAACATTCGAGATTGTATTGACCTCTTCGCAACAGAAAATTACGTCAACGTTCCTTTGCTCTGAATCTTGCAAACGGTATCGATCGAATCCAATATTTGTACATCCAAACACACAGAAACTAAACGAAATGAGGCAAACATTGAAATTAGTGGTTCTAAAACTAAAATCGATGGAAGTGTAACGTTCTATTTAGAAGCGTCCAATTGCTTTCAGTTTGATTTTCACGTGTTACCAATTTACGTATTCCTTCTGTTTAAACACACTTGCCGGTGTTGCTAAATACTGCGACGACACCGTGGCTTTCTTAATTGTCGAGTCAATAAATCGAGACAATAAAAGTGAACGGAAACCAGCGTGTTCGAGTTCGCAAACAGTGTAAAAAATCGGATTGGACTTAATCCATATTGATTGATTCTCGCTTCCAAGACGCCCGTATAATATGCTTGATATTCATAAACCGAAACGCATCAATTATATGTTTTGTATAAAATATCTATAACAAATATAAGTATCGCACGACCAAATCAATAGAGTAATTATTTTTTTAAATGCATACACACGTTACATAATCAAGTATAAGGAATTTCCTCAACGACGACCTTGGAAAGACGCGTGTTGTAAGAACAAGAAAAGAGTAACAAGAATATAGGAGATGAAACAACAAGACTTGGGTCCTTGATCATCGGTTTTCGATGCTTTTTGTGAATTGTCTGGGCAATCATCTTTGTCACGCATACACGTACAGCTACACACCTACACGTTCTTCTTTATACGAGTCGTCTTTGTTCATGCGTCCTGCTTCTCTACCGAACTGGCATATAATGCAGCGACACCGCGATTCGTTTCCATTGTATATCTACGTACGTGAGCATCGCATTCCCGTTGTCACAAAGCTCCTCGCGATGCTCCATAACGATACGTTCTGTTTAGATCGCGATAGCCCATTCGTTCATCTGTTGCAAAAATGTATCAAACGATTTATCTCATCCAGTACGGTAGTCACGTGACTTTTCTACATTTGTCGTTGAGCAGTGAAATAAAAAACTGTCATCTCGATTAAGTCACGTGTAGTCATCGCAGAGATGCTTCACGATTTCATGATGTAGTAATCGAGCGCGTGTTAGACGGTATATCATCGCGTTGCATCTGTTTACGTTCACGGAATGGGAGAGCCTTTGGCAGAGACGACGATATAAATCTCGTAAGCTGTGTGCAGATAAGATAATGCTCGAATTTACATGCTTGCAGTTGATAATCGACATCCTAATTCGTAAAGCAGCTTGAAAATGAATGAAACTTCGAATCGCCTTCGATACGTTCGTTATACTTAGCATTCACATGCGGCTGAATGATCAATACCATTCAGCAACAACGCTGATTGAAACATTGAGGAAAGTACGCAGAACCGGAAAATGACATTTTATCATTGTTCCGTGCTAAATAAAATTTGAAGCTGTGAAGTTCGCATTGCATAAAGTAGCGAAGGAGTACGTTCGAAATCGAACTCTGCAAATCGTTTAGTCCGATTTTAGAAAAGTTATTCGATTTTAAATAGTCAGTGTTCAGTTTTGCTCTTAAGATTGTATGAACCCTTACATAAAACAAAGTATTGAAATTTTCACAGTTACTAGAT